CCCCACCTCACCCTCCGCCTCTCTCCGTTTGTGTTTTGGGGTGTTGCAGGGTCCCCCTGGAGCTCCCGGCCCCCCTGGCCCCCCCGGCGCCCCAGGCCGCCAGGTGAGCGATGGGAGATGGGAGCGGCAGTGGGTGAGCGGAGACTGATCCTGCCCAGCTTTTAGCACAGGATTTAAATATTCAAGCTCTCTCCTTGGCTTTAGGGGATGCCAGGACACAACGGTTTACCGGGACTGCCTGGACCGGCCGGAGACCTGGTAGGTAGTGCCTGTGCCCGCAGCGGCTCCCCCCACAGCACCCATCCTGCTCCCCCCAGCGCGGGGACCGTCCCCTTCCCTCCTGCATCTCTTCCAGGGGCCGCTGGCCGTCATGGCTGAGAGGAACATTGAGGTGCTGAAGGTGAGAGCATGGGGATGGGGCACCTTCCCTCCAGGGGACCCCGAGTTCCTCGGGGTGCCCCTGACTCCCCGCCTCCTCCCAGACCCTCTGCGGGGACTGTGTCCAGCTGCAGGCAGCCTTTGAAGCACCCAGCAGCGTCAAGGGGGAGAAGGGGGACAGGGGCATGCCGGGCGCCCCTGGCAGCGAGAGCTGCGCCCACGTGAGTATTTACCCACCTCTGGGTGGGAATCCCGGTGCCCAAAAACCCCTGGTGATGGTGGGTCTTGGAGTGAAGTGCAGGGATGCTCCCGAGCCCCCGGGCATCGGCTCATGTGGCAGTTGTGCAGAGCAGCAGGCGCTTGCAGGGCTGGGCACGCTCTGGGCACGCTCTGGGCACGCTCTGGGCACGCTGGTCCTGCCCAGTGTGCAGGCAGGCTCCCATGCACATCTCCCACCTGCCTGGATGGGGTGCCCGGGGAGGGTGATGGGCTTGTCCTGTGCAGGGGCTGGTGCAGGCTGGAGCAGCGGGTGCTGAGCACCCGAGGGGTGCAGGATGCAGGGCTCCATGCCCTGCTGTGCCCTGCGGCTCCTCCAGTGCATCCCTGCAGGGGATCCCCAGGTGACTCCTGGGTTTTCTTCCAGTGCTTTGCCCAGTTCCCGAGTGCAGAGGAGGCGCGGGTGAGTGAATCGTGCTACCCGGCACCCTCTCCCTGCCCCTGGGGCTGAGCTGCTACCCCGGTCTGGCTTCCCGGTCCCCAGGGTGCTGCAGGGATGGTCCCCGCTGGGGCAGGACCCAGCACCGTACCCCTGTTGCGGGAGCGGCTGGGGCTTTGGGGAGCGGAGGTTGCTTTGGGGGGCACTTGGCGGGGCTTGGCGGGGCTTGGCAGGGCTCGGCCGTGGGCAGCAGGCAGAGCTGGCACTGGCTTCTGACGTGTCCCCGCTCCCTTCAGGGTGACAGTCCTGACCCGGACTGCGTGGGCGATCCTGGGCTGCCGGGCGCCCCGGGCATCCCTGGCGAGAGAGGCGAGCAGGTGGGTGCACTCCCCATCCACCGCACTGTCCCGCTCCTCTGGCCATCCAGCCCTTCCCGGTGGCCACAGGGGCCATGACTGGTCCCTCAGTGTCCCTCAGAGCTGGAGCAGGGCCAGGTCCCTGTCCCCGCATCGTGGTCATGCCCAATGCACCCGTCTCTTCCACAGGGCTCACCAGGACTACGGGGACCCCCGGGGCCACCTGGGCCCATCGTAAGTACCCCTGCCCGGGGTGGGGGGCTGCCGGGCTGTGCAGGCATCATGTTATGGTCCTGGGGGGCTTGGAGCCCCCCACCGCAAGTTGCCAAGGAGGCTCAGCACTTTGCCCCAAGGCCATGGTGATGGGCAGAGGGCCGGGGCCACGGCCAGGCCGAGGTGCAGCACAGCATGGCTGTCCCCCGGCGAGTCTGGAGACAGAGGCGAAGGCGCTGCCAGCCCGGAGATGGAGCAGGAGCCCGGCTTGGTGGGAGGCCGAGGCCAAGCCAGCCCACGCCTGGCTGCTCTGCGGTGCCCTGAGGGCTCAGCCCAGGCTCCCGGGTGCCATTTCCAGGCTGTGACCTCCCTGTTTCTCCCCTCAGGGCCCCCCAGGCTTTCCTGGAACGCCTGGCGCACCCGGACTGCCCGTAAGGACCCAGCACGGCTCTGCTCTGTGCCCTCTGTCGCTGCCGCTTGGTTTGGCTGTGTCCGCCGTCCCTGTCCCCCCTGGGAGCAGCCGCAGCCCAGCTGCCCCCCTCCCCTTCCACCCCATCTCCATCCTCCCATTTCCACCTCCTCCATCCCCATGCAGGGAGTCTCGGCAGACCCACGGTCTGCAGGCTCGGGAATGCTCTTCCTGAGCTCAGGGACCTGGCACTGGCACTCGCTGGTCCCAGTGCAGCTGCCCCCTATGCCCCGTGTTGGGGCCCTTCGCTGCGGGACCCAGGTGTGCTGGGGATGGCCGCAGCCCCCGGCTGGCCTGGCTCAGCTGCCCGGCTGTGCTCGGTATGCCGGGGACCTGCTCTCCCGGCTTGGCGCCCGCGGCTCATCACAGCTCCTGTGGAGAGCGTTGGGTGCACAGGGTGGCCCCCAGCTGCTGCCCTGTCCCCAGCTGCCCTGGGGACTCCCCTTGTGGGTGCCGGGAGGATCCTTCCATGCAGCCGGTGCTGCCTGGGTTCATCCTCCTCCTCCCCTGGTCCCCGGCTCCACTGGGGTCAGCCAGCCTCCACCACCATCTCCATCTTGATCTTCATCTCCATCTTCATCCTCATCTTCATCTTCATCCTCCCCCTCCCACCCGTGCTCCCTCCTAGCATGAGGTGGTGGTGGGGCTGCACCAGCAGCTCTTGGAGGATCCTATCCTCCCTTGCCGGTGCCAGCCGTGTCCTGCTCCTGTCCCCTCATCCACTAATGTCACCGTAACACCACAGTCTGTGTGGGTCTCTGTGGGTCTGTGTGGGTCGTCGCTCTGCGGTGTGCCAGCGTGTCCTGTCCAGCCTCCACCGCCTCAGCACCACGTCACCCCACTAACCCACCCCAGCGGTCCCGTGACACGGAGCCCAGGGGCTCCCGGCTGTCACCCGTGCCTGGTGTGCCCTGGGAGGACGGGGAGGCAGCGGGTGGCACCAGGCTGGAGCTGTGGTCTGAAGCGTGTCCTGGGCAGCGGCCGGGGTGCCGGGAGCTGTGCACCCCACGCAGCCCCCCCAGGGCTGAGCTTTCCATGGCCCTGTGGCACCGGGGCTGGCTGTGGGTCCTACCCGCGGGCCATGGCATGGGGGGCACAGGCAGCAGTGACCCACGGCTGGGTGTGAGCGTACCCGGCCACGCTTGGGCACTGAGCCCGGTGCACCTGGCTGGCACCATGGGTGGAGGGAGCTCAGCCGGGTGCCGAGCAGGTCCTCCCTGGTGCCTGGAGGTGCCAGGCAGGCTGGGGCCGGCACAGGCTGGTGGAGATCACAGACCCCATGGGCCGTGCCCGGGTCCTTGGCCCTGTGCTCTGCCCGGCTGTGCTGGCAGGTGGGCACAGCCCCGGGCAGGGGCCGCAGCAGACCCCCTGCAGCTCCTCTCTTCTCCCTCGAAGGGTCTCCAGGGGGAACGTGGCCCTGCCGGGCTTGCCGGAGCCAAAGGGGAGCCGGTGAGTGGTGTGGGAGGAGGGGACGGGGGGACACCAGTGCCGCGTGGGCTTTGGGCACCTGGCTGGGGCATTGCAGGTGGCTCAGCATCCTCCCCCTCCTGCACAGGGACCTCCAGGGCAGCCTGGCTACCCCGGCGCGACGGGTCCCCCCGGCCTTCCCGTGAGTACCACGGGGAGCCAGGCAGCGTCTGCCAGCCCCCAGCCACCTTGTGTGTCCCTGTGTCCCTCCCTGGTGCCCACTGGGGCTCCCCATGCTGCCAGGGACAGCAATGTCCCTGCAGGACTCATCCCTATCCCATCCATCCATCCTCTGTCCCACACATTCCCGGTGCCCTATCCATTGCCCGGCTGTTCATTCCATCCGTGCCCCATCCGTCTGTGCCCCGTGCGTGCCCTGCCTGTGCCCCATCCTTCCCCATCCATCCCCGTGCCACATCCGTGCCCCATCTGTCCCCCCACCTCCCATCTGTGCCCCATGTCCCATCTGTGCCCCATGTCCCAGCTCGTCCCCTGTCCTGCGCGGGGCCTTCATCTCCTTCCTTCCCCAGGGCATCAAAGGCGAGCGAGGCTACGTGGGCCCCCCTGGGGAGAAGGGGGAACTGGTGAGTCCCTCGGGGCCGTGCTGCCAGGGGCAGAAGGGCTGGGGGCTCTCCCAGGTGCCCCCTCACCGCGGGCACCGGGGCTGAGGTCCTTCCAGTCACATCCATCTGACCCTATTCCTCCCCTTCCCAGGGACCCCCCGGCCTGGATGGCCTCCCCGGTCCCACGGGACCAGCGGTAGGTGCCCAACCTGATCGGCTGCTGGGGGAGGGGGGGTACTAGGGGCAGCTGTGGTGGCTGCGGGTGCAGCAAGGTGCTCCCCACCCACCTCCCCCCCTCTCTCCACAGGGGCCAAGGGGCGAGCGTGGGCTCCCAGGCAGTGCTGGCGAGAAGGGGGACCAGGTGAGCATGCCCGAGGGGCCCGCGTGGACGGGGATCCCTGGGACCCCTGTCGGGCAGGATGCGGCCGTTGGGGCCTGGATCAGCTCTCGTCTCTCCGCAGGGTTTCCAGGGCCAGCCCGGCTTCCCGGGGCCGCCGGTGAGTACGTCCCGCTGGGGCTGCGGGGAGCGATGCTCCGGCACAGTGAGGTGTCCCCAGATGATGCTCAGCCCCAGCTGTGTGTCCCCATGTCCCCACGGGGCTGGGGAGCCAGCCAGGGCTGGGGACAGGGGTTTCTCCCAGGCACAGGCACGTCCCATGGGACGGGGTGTGGAGAACAGCCCCAGAGCAAACCCGTTAAAATTAGTTTGGAGATGGCGGGCTGTGTGGGGCTGGGCTCTCCCGCCACGATGCCCCCCCCCCCATCACCCCTCTTCTCTTTAGGGGCCCCCCGGCTTCCCAGGGAAGGTCGGTCCAGCCGGGCCACCAGGGCCCGCAGCGGAGAAGGTGAGTGCCATGGGTGAGTGCCACCGGGACGTGGCTGCGTGGTGGCACCGCTCATCCCTCGGGCTAGTGGCCGGGTTTGGCCCCTGCTCTGCAGGGTGGCCGAGGGGTGCCCGGCCCAGGCTGCTCCCATGACCTCCTGTGGCTCTTGCAGGGCAGCGAGGGCATGCGTGGGCCCACAGGGATGCCAGGGCCCCCCGGACCCCCTGGACCTCCAGGCATCCAGGTAAGACCCCCTCCATGCCACCCTGGACCCCTGGGGGCAGAGGGGACAGGACCAGCAATATCGTGGTGCTTCTGGGGAGTGCTGCTGGCTGGATCTGCTCCCCGGGGACCTGTTCCCATGGCCTGGGGTGCCCAGAGCAGGTCCCTTGGGGACCCCCGGAGCTCCTTGGTGCAAACCAGCCTCTGACACCCCCTCTCATCCCTGCAGGGCCCCGCAGGCTTGGAAGGACTGGACGGCAAGGACGGCAAGCCAGGGCTGCGGGTGAGGCTCCAGGGCTCTCCTGGGTGCTGGTGAGGCGGGGCAGCCACCCGCCAACCCCCCCAGGACACCCCCAACCCCTCTCTCTTTCTCCCCAGGGTGACCCTGGCCCGCCTGGGCCACCAGGGATGATGGGTCCTCCGGTGAGTGACAGCCTTCCTTGGCACCCCTCCCTGGTGCTCGGTGCCTGGCATGTCCCTGCAGCCAGGTCTGGGTGTCCCCTGAGCTGGGACTGTCCCAGTGCATGCTCCCAGGGACGCTGAGCCCGAGGGGGTGGCTGGGCATCCCCCCTAGCCTGGTGCTGCAAGTCGCGGTCCCCAGCGGAGACCGGGCTCGGGGTCACCTGCCTTGATCTGCTCCTGGGAGCCGGGACCCCCACCCAGCTCTTTTCTCCCTCCAGGGCTTCAAGGGGAAGACGGGGCACCCGGGTCTCCCAGGACCGAAGGTGAGCGATGGTGGCACTGGGGGACACACGGTGGTGACAGCCCTGGTGACCTCGGTCCTGGGCCAGCATCTCCACACATTGCACTGCCCACGGTGTCCCTGCCTCCTTTTAGGGTGACTGCGGCAAACCCGGCCCCCCAGGGAGCACGGGCCGGCCGGGAGCGGAGGTGAGCCAGGGGGTGGGTGGGCACAGGAGCCCTGAGCTGGATGGGTCCCGCGCTGCCCCTCATCACACTGCCTTCCTCAGGGTGACCCTGGACCCATGGGACCCCAAGGCCGGCAGGGACCCCCAGGGCTCATTGTAAGTTGGACCTGCTCCCCACGGCACACCGGGATGGTGCCCATGGCGGGGGCATGGTGGGGCCTCCCTGCGGCGCAGGGAGCGGGGGCATTTCCACGGCCCCTCGCAGCTGACACCCCTCTCTCTGCCCCCCAGGGCCCCCCTGGCAGCCCAGGGCAGCCGGGTCCTGCTGGCCTCGCCGGAGTGGTGAGTACTGCCTGGGGCCCGACCCTGCCCCGTCACAGCCCCAGCTGCGGGATGTGGGGGCCGGGTGGGTGCCTCGGAGGGTGGGTTTGGGGGTCACTGTCCCCATCCTGCGCTGACTCCGACGCTCCGGGCTTCCTCCTGCCTCCCTGCAGGGGCTGAAGGGGGAGCGGGGCTCCGTGGGGGAGCGAGGTCTGCCAGGGATGCCAGGACAGCCGGGACCCCCGGGCCACCCGGGACCGCCGGTGAGTGCAGCGGGGTGCAGGGGGGCAGCTGCAGACCTTGAGACCTGAACCGCACTGGTCACCCGCTGTGATTTTGCAGGGGGAGCAGGGACCAGACGGACCTGTTGGTAAAGAGGTACGAATCGGGGCTGGACTGTGGCACCCTCTGGCCTGGCCATGGTGTCCCCAGGGTGCCTGCGCAGGGGACATCCCTCCCACCCCGCTCCTCTGTGTCTCCTCAGGGCCCCCCAGGGATGATGGTAAGGAGGGATGGCCGGGGCGCGGGACCCCGTTCCCCCGCAGGGCCCGGTGGCGATGGCCCCTCATGTGTCCCCAGGGAGACGTGGTGAATTACGACGAGATCAAGAGGTTCATCCAGCAGGAGCTGAGCAAGATGTTTGATGGTAACGGGGCGGTGGGGGCGACGGCCGGTTGCACCCCGGCATCGCCTCGTCCCCCCCCCGGCTCGCCGGGACCTGCGGGCAGCCCCGGGCTGCCGGGCCCCCCAGGGATGATGGTAAGGAGGGATGGCCGGGGCGCGGGACCCCGTTCCCCCGCAGGGCCCGGTGGCGATGGCCCCTCATGTGTCCCCAGGGAGACGTGGTGAATTACGACGAGATCAAGAGGTTCATCCAGCAGGAGCTGAGCAAGATGTTTGATGGTAACGGGGCGGTGGGGGCGACGGCCGGTTGCACCCCGGCATCGCCTCGTCCCCGCCAGCGCTGAGCGCAGCCACCTCTCCCCGCAGAGCGGATGGCGTACTATACCTCCCGGATGCACTTCCCAGTGGAGATGGTGGCATCCCCAGGGAGACCCGGTCCCCCGGGGAAGGACGGGCTGCCCGGCCGGCCGGGACCCCCTGGCTCCCCAGGGATGCCAGGGCAGATCGGCAGAGAGGGGCGGCAGGGCGTGCCAGGCATGCGGGGTAGGTGCTGCTCCCCGGGGCGTTCCCGGTGTCCCCGAGTGCCGTGGTTGTGCCATGGTCTCACCCCTCTCCACCCACCTCTCTTCCAGGTGAGCCGGGTGCCAAAGGAGAGAAAGGGGAGAAAGGCGTGGGGATGATGGGGGACAGCGGCCCCCCGGGACCCCCAGGTGAGCCCCCTCCCTCTGGGTGGCCACCAGCCCCATGCTGGGGCTCGCTGCCAGCCCTGCACGCTGCCACCTCCCTCTCTCTCTCTGTCTCTTCCAGGTCCCCAAGGGCCACCAGGCTATGGGAAGATGGGCCCCCCGGGCCCCGTGGGACAGCAGGGCATCCCTGGCATCCCCGGCCCCCCGGGTGCCACGGGGCAGCCGGGCAAGACGGGGCACTGCAGCCCGGCGGAGTGCCTGGGTGCCGTACCCCTGGAGCAGCCCCTCTTCCAGCCCAAAAACGTCAAGGGCCCCTTCGGCTGAGGGGGTCCCTTCGGCTGAGGGGGTCCCTTCGGCTGAGGGGGTCCCCGTGCCCCCCGCCTTTGCTGTTAATAATGTTTCCCCGCTGTGCCGGGGTGTTGTACAGCTCCATCGTGATCGATCGCGAGGGCAGGTGGATCCTGCCTGGTCAAATACACCCATGCTGGTGCTCCCACGCCTCCCGCCTCCTTGATCGGCCACGGGCTGGATCCCCATCCCCGTCCCTGAGGGACCCTGCTCTGCCCGGTCCTGGAGCCCTGGACCAGCACACGGGGCTGAGGCCACCCTGGCGGGGGACACAGTGCCCCTGAGCCCCCTCCTGCCCTGCAGCCCTGGGCCTGATGGGGGGGGGACCTGGGGAGATCCCAGCCCTGATCCTGGGGCATCCTGGCCCTGCCTCGGGGGAATCCCAGCCCAGCTCCCATGGGATCCCAGACCTGATCTGGGGGGATCCTAGCCCTGCCTCTGGGGGCATTCCAGACCAGCTCCTGGGGAGATCCCAGTCCTGATTCCTGTAGATCCCAGCCCTGATTCAAGGAGATCCCAGCCGTGATCTGAGAGGATCCCAGACCAGCTCCTGGGGAGATCCTAGTGCTGATCCCAGGGGATCCCAGCCGTGATCTGGGGGGATCCCAGCCCTGATTCTAGGATATCCCAGCCCTGCCTGCCTCTGGGGGAATCCCAAGTCAGCTCTTGGGGAGATCCCAGGTCCAATCCTGGGGGGATCCTAGCTCTGCTCCCAGGCTTATCCCAGCCCTGCTCTTGGGCTGATCCTGGCCCTGCCTCTGGGGGGATCCCGGACCAGGTCCCAGGGAGATCGCAGTCCCGCTCCTAGAGAGATCCTGGTCCTGCTCCCAGGGGGATCCCAGCCCTGATCTTGGGGGATGCCAGCCCCACTCCTAGGCTGATCCTGGCCCTGCTCCTGGGCTGATCCCGGACCAGGTCCCAGGCCAATCCTAGCCCTGCTCCCGCTTAGATCCCGGCTCTGCCCCCGGGGGGCCCCCGCCGCGCTCGGTGGGCCCCACCGCGCTCAGCCGCCGTTGCCTCCTTAAGCCCCCTGCGGCCGCGCCCTTCCCGCGCGTCACCTCCCCGGGGGCGGGGGCCTCCGCACGACCGCTCGCCGCAGCCAATGGGA